CCAGTCAGGCAGCTGGCAGGTGGTTGGAGCAGTACAAATACCTCTATCCTGCTCCACCAGATGGACCAACAAAGGGTATTTTATTTTTTTAGAGGTTGAGCTATAACCCTTGGGTGTGGCAGTGCTGAGATACTGAGTGGTAGCACCTATTCACCCTTCAAACTTCCACTCAAACATCCTTCCTCGAGTAACAGGTTATGTCCACGGGAGGCCACGTCTCCATTCTATACTCTCGTAGCACTTTATTACCTTTGGAGTGTTGATCACATTTGCTATTGTGTGGTGTTGATTTCATGAATGCCCACGCCTTCTCTCCTGAGTGTTAGCTACCCCTGAGGAAGGTGACTGTCTCACCCACCACTGACATTTCGCCCAAAGCCCAGTTGTCCCTTGCATAGCTTGGCACACATTAACATATATATATTTTTAATTAATACATGAATCTTACCAAAACAATCTAGTTCTCTAACCCTATGTGTGAATTTATACCATAAACTTGCTAAATCTGTTCACGTGGGCTGTTCATTAAAGTTGGCCTCTGAAACAAGCAAACTGGATGTGTGCATGCTGAAAAAACAAGAGCATTAATTCAAAAGAAAACAAAAAGAGCATTCATTTAAAGTACCAAGAATAGCTAATGCACTTAGCGCAGTGGTTCTCAGCCTTCCTAATGCCACGACCCTTTAATACAGTTCCTCATGTTGTGGTACCCGCCACCCCCCCACCTCCCCCGACCATAAAATTATTTCCGTTGCTACTTCATAACTGTAATTTTGCTACTATTATGAATCGGGCGACCCCTGTGAAAGGGTCGTTCAACCCCCAAAGGGGTCACGACCCACAGGTTGAGAACCGCTGACCTAGTACATTACAAAACTTGTCCAAATGCCACAAGTGAAGGTAGCAGATTAGTAAAGCTCACAGTCGTCACTAATTTTTGTCTTATATCCCTGTTTAATAAGTAATTGGTTCATGCAAGAAAAACTCAGTGTTATCACCTTACAATACTCCATTTTATCACCCTTTTGAAAAATAACATCATAAGCCAGCCCTTATTATATCCTGATAATACATATTATGGGTTCTAAAGGTTAGACTGCACCAATGCCATTGACTTCCCAATAGTCACATCACTGGCACAGCTAGAGGCGCACCCGGTCTTCTGAATGTGAGCAAAGATAGGTCTCAGTCTTCCACATATAAACCCACTAGGGAAATCTGTGGGGGCTTCAGAAAGTCCATGGTGTATGTGGGGGTGGGGGGTGGGGATATCTTTTTTGTTCCATTTTCCAAGAACTTTTTGTACTCCTCTCATACATCTCAAAATCAAAAGAGTCACATTCAGCAGGTGACACAGTACATTTACTCTGGGGGTATTTTGCTGCTAAGATTAACTTAAATGACTTCTGTCTGTGATCTTTTAAATATCTTGTTTTGAAAGCAACTATCTGAAATATAAAGAATAACATTTCTAGATAGAAGGAGTTTCCATAGAGTTTGGGGTAGGGGGGAATGGAAGGAAGAGATAATAGAATTTTTCCATGAAGGCTTTGAAGCTCCCTTGTGTAAGATCAATATGGAAAGTCAATTGTATCTGTGCCAAAAACAGCTAGAAAATTCTTTTTGTTTCTCATGACTTCAAATTATCAGATCTTATTTATTCCCAAACATCAAGGATCAGACCACAAAACATTTTAACCAAGTCTTTGGCCACCTCCAAAATATTTTTCCGTGACCTTGACAGCTCTGTGACCACAGTCACAGGGCCAGTAGACATACAAAAACAATAACCTCTAGAAAATTCTATTTTAAAAAATCATTTAAATAGCATAAAAAATATATAAATGTAATAATAATGCCGATACAATATTTATAAAACTTTTTTTAGAAAAAATATAAATTTACTGAAAAACATTGAAGAAGGTCTATAGAAATAGAGGCATTTTATGTTTATAGGTAATATGACTTAAAACCTTAGCAACATAAATCTGCCCATATTGAGCTACAGCGAGTATGCAATTCTATTCAACCCCGACCGGTATTAACCTAGAACCTAACAATCTGATTCTGATAAGAAAGATCAAATAACGAACACACTCCACACACATTATGTAACAACTAAAAAATAGCTGAGTTTAGATGTTGTGTGGTGAGGCTGCCTTTCAAAAACCTAACAAGCGGTTGTGAACATTTATTCAGTTCATTAAGAATTCCATAGCACAGCTTTCATTGACTACTGGCTCATCACATGCAGTGTAATGCATAACCAATATCCTCTTGTTGACCACTGTGATTTTTAAAAATTTTGTTTTTCATGTGAATATGTGATAAATATCCATGTATATACATCTTTTTATATAGCTGTTGATTTAACATGAATTATTTTTAAGTTTTATTAGCACTTAATCCACAAGTCATACAATTCAGTCATATCAAGAAGAGTATACAATTGCCACCATATTCAAGTCTAGAATTGAATTTTCTTCTTCCTTCTACTCATTATTCATGTAACATTTTTAAATTGTGGCAACAATATACTTAACATTCTCCAATTCCACCTCTACTTATATAATTGAGTGCCAATGATTATACTCTTTGTGTTGTACAACCATTATTAGTATCCTTTTACAAATTATTCCATCACTAACATAAACTCAATACCCCTTTCCCCTTCACCCATGGTAACCATTGGTCAAATTTGGATTTTCTCTTTTTTTAGTGGTTTTCTTGATATAGTATTCACATATCATACACTTCCAGGTTAAATTGCTTTTAAAACTAGTTGCATATATATAATCACAAGCAGTTCTAGTGTTCCTTCCCTATGCCCACATTTATTGTTTGCTCCCTAATTCTGACTACTGATTTATTGTTTGCTCCCTAATTCATCTACCGATTGCCCCCTCATCCCCAACAAACCATTACATCAGTTATTATCTCTATGCATCTATTCCTTCTGTGTTTTACCAACTGGGAAACACAACAGAAAAAATTAAAATAAAAAGGCAAGGACAAAATAATAGTAATATGAAGACAAAGATGTAAATAAAGAATAAAAAAAAAAAAGACCACTATGAGTATTTTTTAAAGCCAGGGAAGAAATTTTTGTCGTGGAACAAGTTCAAGAAATAATTGGCCCTAGAACAAATTCTGGTTGGATCAAGAAGGAGGCCAATTGATCAAATATCAAATTATATCATGTTTGAGCCACCATAATCAAGTTTACAATAATCTGATAATAAAGCTGTTCAAGACTCTTGACTGTGACAAGAAGGGATCTGCCAGAGGCTTAATCTCATTAGACAGTCTACAGCTGGATTTTGGGTTCCCATTGTGCTCCATAGCTTTCTACAAATTTTGTTGTCATCTTTGGATCACACAGGCTGCTGTGCTTCTTCCCTGTGGACTCAGTTGATTCCTCCCTTGGATGGCTGCTTGCTTGAATACACGCCTCTAAGATCCCAGACACCATTCCTATTGATAGCTGCTTTCTTCACCACACTTTGCTGTAGCACCCTTATCTTCAATGATCATTTCAGAAGGTGAATATCAAGCTGGAGTGTGTTACCAAACTAACTACTCTTGGACTTGGGCTAAAAATAAGTGGGAACCCAGGACCTAAGATGAATTCTTTAAACGGATACAAGTGATAGGTATAGTTAGGTGGGGGTGATTTTTGTTGCTGTTGTTTTGAGATTTTAAGATCAGTTTTGCCAAACTGTTTCAAGGAAATGTTAATAATCTACATATCAGTATATGACCATATTTCCCCCTACAACCTCGCCAACATCGGTTTTAAAAAAAGGGCCCAACTTTATAAATAAATACTAGAACACTGCATTTTTAATTGATATTTAGATTTCAGCAGTGGTAAGCCTGGACTGATTCTGCTTACTGTCCTCTTTGTTTCTAATGGCATTCTTGCGTAATCTTCTGCCCGTTTTTTTCTACTTAAGCACTCAATTTTTCAAAACTGATACAGAAGACTATTTATTTGGGTTATTAATACTGTCCCTATCAGATGTATTAAACTTTGCCATTTATCCTTTACTTTTACTTCTGTTGGTGTGGCTGTTTTAAATGATATATATTAAGGTAGCCCTGTGTTATAAATACCTACTTTATGGGCAACTACTTCTTCACTAATGCTTGGCTGTGAACTAGTTCTGTCATGGCTGATGAAGCAACACAGGTAACCACTAGAATTTTTAGTTTAGGTGATTCGTCACAGAAACCAGAACATGGAAATGTTCTGCATCAAAGCCTGGGATTAAGAGATGTAAAAGAAGCAAAGTAAACCCATTCAGGAGCCTGATACATGAGACTACATTCCTGGCAGGACTATGAAGAGGCACGCATTGGTTGGCTGCCATCTTCGAGTGGGGCACAGCCGTTTCTTGAAGCCTTGCCTTAATATTCTGTAAACCGCTCTCACTCTGCAGCAGCTGAAGCAACCCCTCTGGACTCAAGGAACCCTTCATCCCCGTCTCCTTCACTTTCTGTATGGGTAACTTAAGTCACTGAAGAAGGCTGCAAACACTTTTCCTGCCCTGCAGTAAGATTAAGGACTGTACGTGGCTCCTCTGCTCTACCTACAAAATCAACTTAAAGACACACACAGATCTCATTTGTAAGCTGACTGCCAGTATCTATATATGCCCATACATGTCATATATACGAACTTACTGCTTCTTTAAGAATCCTTCCTGAGGATAACTCATTTTCCACTTGTCCCTATTATAGTAAAAATCCCCCATCTAATTCAGGGTCACAGCACCATCCTCAAAGTTATTGTAAACGCTAATTTATTATTAAGGTGCTTTTTATAAAATTATTACCATGCACTCAGTAACATCACAGCTCACAGGTTTTAGAATAACATACAAGTAAACCTAAGCAGATGTTCTTAGGAATAACAACAATCTGAAAAGTCAAATGTCATGCAGGAAGCTGAGGCTGTATGACATAAAAGCGTTTCACACCCGTGTGGGTGTTCTTACCTGATTACTCTTCACCTTCCTCCTCCAACTCAGTTTCTTTGTGCACCACCACTCTCGTGACAGACATGTCAGGGTGCTGCTCTCTGGCTTCCTTGATGGCCTGGGCCAAGGCCTGGTGGGGTCAGGAGAGAAAGCAGCTGTGAGCTGAAAACATGCATACTGATAAACCCAGACTCAACCTCAAGGCCAAACAGATCCATTTCTTTATTTGAGGAAGCAGGAATTATGGGTTGAAATGAGCTCTTGCTCATTGGAGACTATGCTCACTCTTCTCACTTTCTCATTTCTGTATGGCAGTTTCAAACACTGATGCTCGTAGAAGAGACACACTGGCTTGGAATTCCAGCCTCACAAGAACAGTTCTCCTCTGAGTTTGGTAGCCTTGCCTAGTGCCAATGCTGTAAAGGTCATGTTAAGGCTTGCTGTAGGGACTGAGGGGAGCCCTGGCGACACTGTCTGGTAAGCACGCGGCAGCTAAGCATATGGTTGATGGTTCAAACCCACCAGAGCCACTCCTTGGGAAGAAGATGAAGCTGTCTGCTCCCATAAAGACTGACAGCCTTAGAAAACATACATGGTATCATTATGAGTCAATAATCAATTCAATGGCAGTGGGTTTGACTTTAAGGAGGGCTTGAAGTACAAGTAGTCGCCGGGTTACACATAAGAGCCATTTCAGGGTCTTCAAAATGTGGAAGTCAGTTAAAATAAGTGCCATTTGGTTCTTAGTTAGCCTTTGTGCAAGAAAGGAGTCTCAGTAGCAGAGCGGTTAACCCCTCTAAGGCAACTGAAAGGTCAGCAGTTGGAAACTGCCAGCTGATCTCCGGGAGAATGAAGTCGCAGTCTGCTTCCCTACAGACTGACAGTCTTAGAAAGCCTATGGGGCACTTCTGTTCTGTCCTACAACGGCACTGTGAGCCAGAATTGACTCTACGGCAATGGGGTTAGTGTAAGAAAAGGTCCAAGGTTCGAAGCCTTCTCAATGACGTAAAAGCTACCCATGCAGCATGTGAAAAGGACTGTAAGAAAGAACTTGCTGAGTAGGGTTAGTTGAATGGATTCAAAGGAGGGAAGACTTATTTAATATTCAGGGAAAGAGGGAGTTCACAGGCCTGAGAATGCCAATAATGATGGGAAGCACACCGCAGAGTGCCTGACTGATTCACTCAGAGATGCTAGTTATTACCCAAATACCAACACCCCACTGCGCAGAACCAGGCCCTGCTCTTCTCTGCTCTCTTAAGTTCGTGCTTGCATTAAAATGTTTGTTGACGTAAAATGTGGCAGGGAAATCCTATGTAAATGTTTGGGTATACCCACCCACCCACAGCCCTCCCTTCAAGTCAATTCTAATTCACAGCAACCTAAAGACTCTATAATATTTTTTAACATATAACTTATAATATGTAATCTCCAAGGCTGTAAATCTTTACAACAGTAGACAGCCTCATTTTTTCTCCCATGGAGCAGCTGGTGGGTTTGAACCGCCAGCCAGGCAGTTAGTAGCCCCATGTATAAGCCACAGCACCATCATTGCCCTTTTTTCCTGGGACACAGAACAAGCCAAATAGTGGCCATAGCGACACACAATCAGTAACACTCGAGAACAAGACTGTCGAGTACAGATCACAACTTCATATTTTAAAAACTTAAAGTCCCCAAGGTTCATGGCTCTTGGAGATGGCCAATTAGCTGGTGGGTGGCAGAGACAGACCTGGGCGGGAGTATTGACCAGGCGGTGAGAAAGGAGACACAGCTTCTCTCTATTTCATCAGAAAGTAAGCCCTACTAAGTGTGATGGCAAAGTAAGAATGAATAACACTAACAAAAGACCTTATTTTTTAGAAGAAAAGATGTTTTTGTTCATTGTTGTTCATTTTTATTTTAAAGTGGTCTTTTGGAGAAAGAATACGAAACAATATACCACAGAACAACACTAAAAGTTTGGGAAGGAATTCTAAAAATGAAATTGTATTAACATAGAAAGCTCCATGTCTTATAAGAAAACAACCCAATGGAGAATAGTGGCATAATTTTCCCTTTTGATCTGCTACCTGCTGGAGGGGACACAACTGCATTTCTTCTGTGCACCACGGTCTGTCTGCCATAACTCTACAGAGCAAAAGCCCGGCTCAGCAGGGGTAAGTGGAAAGGCCAGGGGGCAAGAGTGTAGTGAGAATCAGCGCAGACATCAGGCGTGGTCAGAAGAGCTTCTCAGTGTACTAACATAGGGAAGGATGGGAAGAGGGTAAGAGAAGGAGCACAGGGGTCCAGAGAGGATGGAGGTAAACAATAAAATTCTTTCATTGTTTTCAGTCTGACCTGAATTGTAAAATGTCCTGGACAAGCTTGAAGGGAGCCAAATGTAAATACCACCGAACCCACTGCCAGGGAATTGATTTCAATGTACAGAGACATCAGGTTTCCAACACTATAGATTTTTATAGGAGTAGATAACCTGGTTCTCCACTGATCTTGAGGTTAGTAGTCTACTGCTTATCCAGCAGTGCCACCAGGGCTCCTTAATGTACTTACAGGCAAACCAAATACTATAAAGAGATCTGCCTCTATAAAACCCAGATGTCTCTTACTTAGATAGGAAGCATATCTGGTGTTTTCTAAAAACAAAACAAAAGAAGGCCACTACTATCGAGTCGATGCCAACTCATTGTGACCCTAGAGGACAGCGTAGAACTTGCCCTTTGAGTTTCTGAGAATGTAACTCTTTATGGAAGTAGGATGCCCTGTCTTTCTCTCGTGGGGCAAGTGGTGGTTTCGAACTGCTTAGCTGGTAGTTAGCAGCCCAATGTAACCATAATGCCACCAGGGCTCAAGTCATATAAAACATGCTTCTATCAGCAGGAAAGTAGGGGAAAAAAATAAACACTACTATCATCTTCAAACACATTTAGAATCAGTTTGCCTAGAGATCCTTCATTTCATAATTATTAGCAGATAAAATAAAACACTGTAAAATGCGGATTTATTAAGGAATCACTAAGGACCTGCCTGTGAGAGAATTATGACATCATAATCCCCAATGGGGAAATTATTTCATTAGAAAGAAATATGGTCCAGTGAGCAATGGCAGGGCAGTTCAACCATACCCCCCTCCACAACCCACCTCCAAAAGCCGAGTCAAGACAAGCAGAAAAAAAAAATCCTCTACATCAAGTTTCTATAAATTTCCCAACACAAAACAGATTGCTTCTTTTCCACTTCATCCAGATAAAGGTTACAGTCCACTAATAAGATCTCTTTTAAACTAGACAAGACATTGAAAACGGGGTCAATGATATTAGAATCACTACAAGACGGTCAGTTATCTAACACAGAATGACTTTTCCCTCATTCAATGTTAAATAGTCCTACCAGCGAAACGTCAGGCTGCTCCAGTAGGCAGCGGCTTGTGCGGCATAGTAAATTACACACTGGGCTGCTAACTTCGAGGTCAATGGCTAGAGCTTACCAAATGCTCTGCGGGTGCTTCAGCAGCCTTGGAAACCCATGGGGCTGTCTACTCAGTCCAATAGGGGCGCTATGCATCAGAAATGACTCAATGACAGCGGGTTTACAGAAAATTGGAAGCTTATTTTCACAAAAGTAATTAATTTTCAGTGGTAACCAGGTAAATTAATTTTTCAGTGGTTACCAGGTAACCAGGTCATCAACTAGGAAACTCGACCCCCAAGTGAGAACGAAGAGTCTGGGGACCCTTTCCCCAACCCCAGCCCTCAAGAAATTAAACATATAAAATAGAACATATAGGACATATAAAAATATAAATCATGGTTATAGAAGTTTTAAAAACAAACAGAGATAATTTTTTTCTAGGCTGGAACAGAAAAATCCATGTCTCTTGAATCACATATAAGGAATCTTTATTAAACAAAAGATTTCATTCCCTAAAATTCTCTGAACTTGGTATTGTGTTCAAAGCTGGGTAATGATCATTTCTTCCTATTCTCCAGCTGAAACGGTCAGTTGAACATTTCTTATCCTTTCTCTTCAAGCTGCTGTGAAAGGGAAGCAGCTTGGTCTCCTCTAATGCCAGCCAATTCAAAACACTCAGAAGAGAACACCGAAATCTCATCATCCCTTGGGACTGGGATTTGAGCTGCCCTGGAAGTCTCTGGCACTTCCAGCCATTACCTGCTCTCAGGCCAGCATTCTGCCAACACTCATATGAGAATGATGGCAGCAATGACTCAACAATTTTGTTCTGAATAAATTAAAATGTTTGTGTAAGAGACTTTAGCCCACCATAACTGTAATAGTTCATGGAAAATGGCTGGTAGTAAATAGCTCCATTTTCTAATGCTATCAAAAAAATACTGGGAAATTTCCTAAAGGGGGCACAAGTCAATTTTAGTCTCTTTCTCTCTCTCTTTTATTAAGCTAGCATCTTTAAACCATCACTCAACTGTTAAAATTCAATGATTTGTCTTTTAAACCAGACCCATAGGAATATCGTAATGGTTGCCAGGAATCCTCTGATTATTTGGACCAAAAAGTCCAGGTAAAACCAGGGAGCAATAACAATTCCGCTCTGTTTTCTACTGGTCATTACAGGATGGCTGGAAGGCCAGGTAGCGTCCAGGGAACTGTCAGCATGGTAGGGCGGCAAGATGAGCAGTGGCAACCTTAGAAAACCAACAGTCACTTTCAGAACTAGCACTGCAGGGCTTTCTTTACCTGGTCATGATCAATATCTGTATCTCCTGTGATCACAATACGTTTCTCAATTCTTGTTTCAGATATTCCACCTTTTACAGTCTAAAGGTCATAAAGAAGAAAAAAGAACAATCGTCAAAGCATGCAAAATCAGAGGAAACAAAACTTCGGCAATAAATACAAAGCTGACCTTGCAGGGACTTGCTGTGGTTTATAAGCTCTTAAGAGATTTCTAGTGTTAACATGGTAACTTCTGTCAATCAGGTGATCGCAACCCTAAAACTAGTCTTATCAAAATCCAGGTAAGATTAAGAAGCTGAGACAGATACCCTCCAATCCAAATAGTGTCCATGGAGACTTTCTGTTCCAATTTCCGGAATTTCTTTACTCCTAACTGGTTTTTTAAAAGGGTGATCATTACTCGGTATTTGGATAGTTCCAAGAAATTCCGATAATTTACCTGTTCTGGGTTTGGAAAATTGATGTTACAATTCTGACAGCATGATTTTAGTCATACAAATTCATGTGGTAATTTTGTTCATTTGGTGTAGTACGATAGTAAGATGTGGAATATGGTTTAGATCGATGTTGTGCTTTTTGCTGAAGTGTGATTCTAGCTTGTGGTTGTGACTGTGTGGTCACGGAACACGCGGCTAACCATTGACGGAAAGGACCAGGGGAAGGAGCTATGGGGGGAATAGGGTCCAGCATACTGGCTCCTGGCAAACTGATGCAGTCTGTGGCACACCATCTCCAGCAGAAGCTACATCATGTAGCTGTGACACTCTGAGCAAAGGGCAGACACCACACAGTCCTGAGAAAGCGCACACCCAATCTCTACAACTCCCATCAATGTACATGTTAAGACTACACATTAATGCACTTTAATGCAAAAAGAAAACAAAATGCCTATCACCAGCTTTAATAATGCTACATATATTTTAAAAATTAATACCATAACTACCTTGCATTTATGTGGCATTTTTAATTTACAGTTTTGTTTTGGCTTAAACACAGAATAAATTATGTATTTTTAATCTTTAAACACTAACCAAGTGTGAAAAGTAGAAGAAAAAAAGTCTCTGAAAAGTGATGGAGTGAGAAATTTGGTGACTTTAATGCACATTAGAATCACCTGGAGCATTTCTACAAATCCCTTCAGAGTATCAGGAGATCTGGGACTGGGCTGTCAAATATACGACAAGGCTTCAAAAAGTGTGTGGGAAAATGGAATCAAAAGATAATGGAATTTTCACATGAACTCTTTGAAGCCCCCTCGTCCACCTCGCAATAAGTGGAGCTGATACTGATGCTGGTATCCCAGGAACCACACTGGGAATCACTGGAAACATGCAGAGAATGCTCTGTGAAAATACCCACAACATCAACACGCTAGAAATAAGTGAGGCAAGTTTTACACCGTTTGAAAACCTATCGAAAATCATGAATGATGGCCTTTATTCAATTGCTTCACTCAGAAGCTCATTTGTACTTACCAAACCTGCGCTTCCACCTTTCTGAAACTACTCCCCCCTTGCACTTTATAACACTGCAATTCGGTTAAAATATATTTGGAGCCTCACTCCGCTGGCACTGTCTGGGTATTACTTTGAAGCATGGAATGGGAGAAAGCAACCATTCAGAAAGGATCCTGTTTGTGAAGCACCATCACACCTCCGCAGGATCCCCTGGACTGCTTTACCTTGGTGATATGTGTGGTGGTTGTTGTCGACACGGACTCAGATGTGATGGTTTGTGCGGTCAGTAATGTGCCCGAATCACCACCAGCCCCGCCATCAACCTTTGGATAGTTGGGGGGAAAATACAAAGCAATGCTTAACTTCCATTCTGTTGTCCAAGAAGACCCATCCCCATTCCAGACACAGCTTTACAAACCTATGCAGTTGGCAGAGGGTGCTACCTGCATATCCTATTCATGTTCATGGTGGCAATTTACAGAAAATGGCTGAAAATTAAAACAATAAAGTAGCAACAAGCTGGATGTGCATGCAGAAGCAAATCCTGCGAGTGGAGAGAAAAACCAGGAAGAACAGAAGGAGCAGGTGGGGAGGAATGCTCCAAAGGAGTCGAGAATTCGACCTGAAGACCATTCTGCAGGAACCAGAAGGAAAACCAGAGAACCAGGCAGAGACGCTTTCAAAATTCCTGCTAGAGGCAGGCAGACTGGGGAAGTACCAAGTAATTTGTTGCTATGGGTTTTAAGCAAAGGTGGGCAAAAACAGAAAAACACTTTCTCAAATTACTAGAATAGAGCCTGAATACAATGGCCAAATTCGAATGATTTCATTGTCTGTTTAACTCAAGCAGAATTTAAAAAATCTATACCACATTCCTAATAGCTTTTGTGTTGGAATGTATGCAGTACACATAAGGAGCCCCTGAATAGCAGTCAGAAGCCACCCACAGGCACCTCCGAACAGACACGTTTGAAACCCCTAGAAAGCACACATAGGCTCTCCATATACAGGCTCTGAATCCAGCGATAACAATACAGATACATTACTCCACACATATGTATACACATATGTCAATTCTATGCATGAGGGGTTTTCTATAAGCTTGCATTATTTCCCTGAACTTTTGAAAGTACCCTCCCCACTGCCTCCTGGTATATCGAAACATTTGTACTTGTTTGTTTTGGTAATGAAAAAGGCAGAAAGTTCTGGAGCCTACCATGGGAAATACAGAAGTGACCTGATAGCCTAACTCAGATCATATTGTTAATATCCAAATGTATTTGCTTGCTGTTTCTTGGTATTCACTGATTCATGGACGTAATCTGAAAACGTGAAAGTCCGGAGTCTGTCTGACTAAAAGCTGAAAGGGAAATGCACACTTGGCACTTCCCATAACACAGTCACACATGTGCATCTTCTCCCCTGAGCTCGTGTAGGATCGATGCACTCATACGGACAGTAGGCCCAGGACAATTTTGAGAGAAGCCTCTCATACACACACGTTCAACAATTGCAAAAATATTTCAAGAAAGCAGTAATATATTGTCCTCCACCAAGGTGCAACCCTCCTACAGAATTCTAATCTTCCCAGTAAAGAGAACCATTATCCTACACATTAAACAATTCCATTTTATAATGATGAATATTTTTCCCTTTTTGATTACCCTCAGGGTTAGATATCTTAATGCCTATTTCAAATCTTTACAGATAAACGCCTGAAGACTACCTAAGTCATACACACAGATCTGGTAGCTTAAATTATAAGTTCCCAAACTTACTTGGCCTACAGATGTCCCTTTTTGAGAAAGAAAAAAATTTACTCAGTGCCTGGCTGGCAATTAAAATTTTGGTACTAAAATCCAGGATAAAGCCCATAATCCAAAATAAAGGGTAGGTCTCTGCTTTTGCATGGCCCCTGGATTGGTCCAGGGCAGTCACGTCCATTTGGGGAAATACTCGTTTATATAATTTTTCAGAAAATAATCATGTGAGAATAAGAAGCATGTGTGAGTTCATCAAGTGGAAGAGGGGGGTGGGTATGACCTACTGCTCTACTCACTGTATCAGATCGAATCAACTGTGTAAGGCGATCTGTTTCCCAGGCGCACATGAACACGAACAAACTGATAATACTCACTCTAAATAAGTATATGTACACTGATCCTCAGAAATAACTGGGTCATCAATTTGATTGTGGCCCTCTGGCAATCTAAGAGAGCTACACAATCAGTTATTTCACTGTTGACATAAGGCTATGAAATGGACATATAAAAATCCTACACCAAAGTCAGAAACACATAAACTAGAAACGACAGAATGAAAACAGAAATTGAGAGCAGTCCAAGTCTGGGGCTTTTGTACCTGTGGAGCCTCGTAAGTGATGGTTCGGGTCTCAGTTTGGACAATGGGGACTTGCTTGGTGGGGATTTCTGTTCTTTGTGAGGCATCAGAAATTGTTACCATCTCTGTTTTGACCACTGGTGGCTAAGGTGGAAAAGGAAGGGAAAAATAAATTCTAGCGGTAAGGATGTAAAAGTGCTTAATGGAACCTTCAAGATAAATGTAAAAACCATATTCAAAAACGCTTTCATGCATAAGAGAAAAGGAAAAAGAGCAATTACCCAAACGCAAACAAAAGATATAAAACCTTTCTTCAAATGCTGCATGCCATATATCATACATACAAGAGAGCTTCCAAATAATGCATAATTTTTAAAAACTGTCTGAAAATCCCTTGTGTGTATGAATGAGAGAAAGATAAGCTAATGTAACACTACCCCTTCTATTATCATATGGTTAAGCTGCAATGGGCACAAATGAGTTGAATGTACAGCCTGGTGGGCAGTGACATATACTTTGGCCTGTCTGAAGGGACTTGAGCTCTACTTTCACTGTAATTTAAAGAGCCCCTGGCTCATGTGAAGGCTCATGTCCTTTCACTGGTCTACCAGCAAGGTGGGCTAAGATTTGTTCTTTTTACCCCAAAAGCCTTTTCTGCTTTACTGACAATGGAGACAGTTATACTTGAAGTTATTCTTTTCAATTATACTTGTCTAAGACTTGGAGTTTATCTTGTGTATTACAAGATACAACATAAAGTTAAATTACTCCAACACTGCATTAATGCTCCAAAACAATTTAGAACATTAATAGAAAAGTTTCTGAAGACCCCACCTATATATTTACTATATAACTTGACTATACTATTTCCAAAATACTACTGTCCTGGAGACAAGTTTCCAATAGAAGTCATTAACTAAAGAGATAATGAGATAATGTGCTGGCAGGAGCAAACAGTAGTCACAGAGTCTCGAAATGCCGTCTCTGAAGGAAAACGGGAAGTTTAACCATGGCACGGTAAAAATCCAGTATATTCTTTCAGGTCAGACTCAACATCACAACTTTCTACTCTATCAAAAATAGCACATGTGAACTACCCCTACATTGTGGGTATTTAATTTTACAATCAAGAAATATTCCACAAATGTAAACCCTCCCTCAGGATAACTCTAAGTTCTAATTCAGGGACACTGCATCTACTGATCAAAACTGCATCTAAGAGGAATCAGGAAAGTTCTCTTTCCTGAAGAGAAAGGAAAAGACATTAAATACAGACAAGTCAACAGGACATATCATTCACTTGCAACTAATCTGGAAGGGATGAGAGATCAGAACAAGGATCAAGTCTAGCCCTCTTTGAAAGAAAGAGACTCATAACGAAACCCTGCAATTCCGTGCATCCATGAGCAGAAAGAGGTAACATTCGCATCACTGTCAGATGCTACGACCAGAACACCATAGTAATCTAAGTTGGCCGCCATTTCTAAAAAAGTCTAAGTTGAGGAAAGAATGAGACACACAAAATTAATGAAGTCCATTCATGACAACAGGACTCACACACACTCACATTGGGCATTTTAAAAACACAGCATATACAGTTTTCTAATTAAAACAATGCAAAAGCATGCAGTGTCAAGAAGAGTACAACGAAGAACAGAAGAACTGGAAATGTTCAAAACAAGCAAAGAAAAGTTTACATGTGAAATGGAAAGGAAGAAAACGATACATCTGCCACCAGAGAATTTACCCAGAAAGTGGGTGGTCGACTTGCAGTAAAGAAGGGAGAAGCCACAAACAGAGGGCAGGAAATCTAAAAGCGGGGCTCTCGCCCCAGGATTTCTCCCAGTAGAGTAAAGAATCGGAATCTTGTTGAAAAGGCTGGCGAAGTGGGAAGGCAGGAAGGGAAGGCAGGTGTTTTACCACCTGCTCTATGATAGGTTAGCTCCCACTTGGGCCTCCAATTTACCTCGGAACAACAGATAATTTGTGGCAAAACATCAATGTCAACACGAGACACCTCTCCATTAACTTTAAGTTGTTCTTCCTCTGTTTCTTCGCTCAGGGCTTGCTTAATAGTGCCTTCGTTTATACTCTTCTCTCCGGAGAGCTTGGGGGCCACTACATTTTCCTGGGTCACTGTTTCTACTGGGATTGCACTGGCACCTGCTTGTTTGACTGGGCTGGCTTCTGGCACTGCTTCCTCCCTCTCTACTACCTTGACTGCTTGACCGGGCTCCTCCTCCGCCTCTTCATACTCCTCCTGCTCCTCCCTTATGGTGCCCTCCATCACACGGTGGTGGGGGCGGTACTCTCCCACATCATCTTCTTCGCTCTCAATGCTGCTGCTGCTGCTGCTGCTCTCAGAAGACAGGGAGGTGGAGTCTTTGGGTGCCAGCAGCTCCACCTTCCGAATATCCCCAGGACCACTCCCAGGTGATAGCTCTTTACCATTCATTTCTTCCGTGATTATGATTACTCTTTCGTCTTTCCCAACCTCTGCCCGTTTCTTCTCTTCCACTATATTCAGAGTCTCATGTGAACTCTGTACAAAAAAAAAGATGGATGAGGGAAAACAAAAATACATGAATAAATTAAAAGGGTAGAAACCCAGACTAACTGATGGTGGTAGGTTCATGTCATGGAGGAAAACACAGATGGTTGCGATGCTGACTGAAAGGGAAGCGGGGACACCGTGGGGGGGTCAGAGACAGCAGGCGATGGTGGTAACAGGGAAAGGGGGGAGAACCTTAACAGCATCACTGGCTCCAGCGCATGGCCCTTCTGACTCGGGAGAGCGTTTCTGCGGAACAAAAAGCAACCAAGGACACAAAATCAATACAGTGTTACCTCAACACCCAGCAAAACAAATATCCAACACAGCAAGGACAGAAGAGGAAGAATCCACATCGACAGTGACCTCTGCGCAGGGTCAAATAAAGGGCAGTCAAGACCAACACCACAAAACTTACAAAATGGAAAACACAAAAACAGCCAATATCCTCCCAAGGTAAGAAAAAGCTTTTGTGGTAGTTATATCTATACCTACTACTTATGTAGCTGATTTTTGGAATTGCGCCAGCACTTACTGAACAGCATAAAGAGAAGTTTTAAAACTTTGAAACCTATTTACAACAACAGGCTTTGGTTTTAAGAAGTCTATGAAGCCCAGACTAAAACTCTACTAAATTAAGGTGATGACACCTTTCTTTTTCGCTGGCTTGTTAAAAAAAAAAAAAAAAATCGTCTTTTAATGGCAAAACTACTCTTGGCCATCGACAGCTACTAACATTAAAGTTTGTTTCAGAAATGATTATTAGCACAACAAATTGTGTAACAGGATAGTAAGAGGGATATTATAATGTTCAGTAGAAGTCAATAATGGCTCCAGGCGGAAAATTTAGCTCCTCCAGCAGCATTTTAGATATCAGATATTAATCAAGTTTTATTATTCGAGATGTTCTTCCCTACCTCCCAAGACACTGGTGTAAGTATTTACTCTAGTTGTTTAGTAAATACCTCTCTGTATATCACTGGTACAAACTACTATGTCATGGTATTAATAACTGGGATAGAAACATTCTTTGTGGAAAAGTTATGTTTTAAAATCTATTTTTAGAGGGCTGTTTTGTATTACTATCCTTATATTTCTAGTGTGCTCTCACATGGAAGTCTACAGAGCAAGTTCATCTCCCAGCCAAGGTCTGCACACAGTGCATCCGCCCCACACTGGCTGTGATCCCACCATGGTTCATGGAAGTCTACAGAGCAAGTTCATCTCCCAGCCAGGGTTGGCACACACAGCACATCCGCCCCACACTGGCTGTGATCCTACCATGGTTCATGGAAGTCTACAGAGCAAGTTCATCTCCCAGCCAGGGCTGGCCACACAGTGCATCCGCCCCACACTGGCTGTGATCCCACCATGGTTCATGGAAGTCTACAGAGCAAGTTCATCTCCCAGCCAAGGTTGGCACACGGTGCATCCGCCCCACACCGGCTGTGATCCCACCATGGCTTTGCATGCTCCCTATCCCAACACGGCTTCCCATCTCCATTCCTCCTAGTTTTCTGCCTGTTCTTGCCTCCTCATTTGTGCCTTCAGGAAAACGTTGCCCTTTTGATCGCATGTAATTGCGAAGTCTAATGAATACTCCTCTCGGGTGCTGTATCTGACGGGCTTACAGCTGTTGTTCGGCTGAGAGATAGCCTCTGAATAAGACTAGTGTCAGGATCTCGGGCTCCTCCAGGATCTCTCAGACCACTGCGTCGGGTCTTTCCATGAATGTGACTTTCGTTCTTCTCAATTTTCTCCTATTTTGCTGTGATCCTAGTCAGAGACCATACTGCTATTTTTAGAAGACTGCTTTACTTGAAAAAGTAGTCTAGTTAACTTTTTGACATTCAAGTGGCACATAGCCTGTGATCAAATCTAAAATAAATCTGCGGGAGAGCGTTGTCCTACTTATTCAGGAAGGCATCTCCCTGCCAGATGAAGGGAAGCAGCGCACCTGTGCATCCTCTAGGCAGAGAAGAACCTTGCTGTGAAACTGTCCAGATACCGACTGGATTGCAGCTATCACTGTCCTAGAGCACACTTTCACAGCATCCACTGCCACCGGTGGCATGGACAACCAGGCGTTCATGGCCCTAAAATGGCACACTCCTTTGCAGCACCTAGGCTCACGTGTTCGCTCTAATCTGCATGGTTAGCCTTAAATACCTGGGAAGAGTATATTTACTTGCTCAAAACTGGTATCACATAAGTCGTGCCACTGATAAAGCAAAGGAGCCTAAGTGTAAGTGAATCTGCACATGTTAGTCACCAAACTGGAAAGCACTGAATCTATTTTGAGAAATAGGTTTTAAAAATAATGATGTCCTAAGATCAGAACACTTCGGCTAGAAATGTTCTCTCAAAGTTCAGGGATTCTCCTAGGGGTCACCAAAAAAGAACTATTTTATTGGCTAAGGGAAGTATCTCAAATCTTCTTTATGAACACATTTTAAAAATCACAAGCCATAGAAAGATGCTTAAGAGAAGTCGGATTTAAAACAAATTGTGCAGAACATACTTAGATTTCTATTGGTCTCGGGGTTTCCTTCTGCCTGAAAACTCAGACTCTGAGCCTCAAAGGTTTAAATGAGTCTCTTTAGGCAGTTTTATTGGGGGCTTAGGGGAGGCACAGGTAGGAGAAATATTCAAATCTATATCTCTTCTACGTGTCTGTGTTCAGTCACTTTTTCTTGAATGTCTTCCTTGGGAAAGGTTAATTGCACTAATGAAAGCACTGGGGAGAGAAACGCTCCTGAATTCCCCCCAAAATAAAAATTATTCTCATATGTGGCTTTTAATAACAGGGGAAACAAAGTAAAATGCACCTCAGACAACCGTGAGAAGGGCGAGGAAGAAAGCGTTTCAGAAGGTGCATTATAGTTCACAACAGTGCCCTCTGCTGTCCAAATGGCGGCTGACGTGAAGGTGGTTCTCACACTATCAGAACAGCCCTTTTCACTAAACAACATGGATGTTATCTCCTCTTCTAGACTCTAGAGAGGTCAGAAAAGGAAGAGCAAAGAATTAACAAGTCTGAACAGGTAGCAACAACCTACTGAAAGGAAAGAAAGGTTACACAAGAAAGAATAACAGAACAGCATAAACTGGAAGAAGGATGAGAATTCTAAGACTCCACAGAAGGATATGTGGAGGCTCACCTGCATGCCAGCTTTTCAATATCTGATAGTTTTACTTTCAGAATCCAGCTAAAATTCCTTGACTTATTGCTGAAGCTCTTATCATAAACTGATACAACCTACCCACTACTCCCCAGCTGACACTACTTCACATATTCCCGAAGTCGTTTTGCGTGTGGACCTTTTTCTGCACAGATGGCCTCTTCTGTGGCTCTCATACTTATAATGCTCACTCCTGGTGTTAGGGCTTGGGTGATTCTGTCCCTAAGGCCACCGTCCCAATTTTGTCATCTAACACTCAGGTAATATCTAGATAGTTTGCACAAGTGCTTGACCTCCAGAGGTCTCTTCCGTTCTCATTTACTGCACAACCAGACATGCTAAATTAATTATGAATGAATAAACTGCATTTGAAGCAATAAAAATCAGGGGGAAATTTTAGACAGAGAAACACCGTGAAGTGAAAATGTGAAAATTATTCGTCCCTAAAAAAAAACTAACCAGGAAAATGTAATAGTCATAGTTCTACCCTTTCAGTGATGGGCCCTGGCCTGGCGGACACGTGGAGTGCCAGGCACAGTTATCATGCGGTCAACCCTCAAAAGTGTGCAGAAGTCATTCCAAAACAACCGAGGGATCTGAACAATAATGAAATAAATAACACTCTGAGTTAGGCGGAGTGGGGGCACGCACCCACAAGGGGAGGAGAATGAGGTGGTGGTATGTACCTGCATTGGAGATAGGAACCGGACTTCCAGATTGATTCAGCTCAATTAAATTCTTATTATTTACAGCATCTCTAGGGTAGGTGGGAAAAGTGTCCTTCCAGGAGAATTTAAGTAAATGGCATTCTTTAATTATTCCATAAAGTGTGCTCAAGACTACTCTAAAATTATAACCTATGTAATCTCTATTAGACATGAGAGAATATACAAATTTAAGCATGTCAATATAAGAGGGTATAAAATAGATGCAGTTATTTGCCAAAAAGTAAACAATGTAGTTCCCAATTTTCTGCTCTACTCTCAAAATGAATTACTCACGTTCAAATTGAAGTCACTTTGAAAGTTCAACCTATTTATTTTTCCAAACAAGACACTATCATTGCATTTTGCTAAATGGTCACAATATAGAAATGGGGGTGGGGGGGTTGTGGCAAATTATATTTTAGGTGTGTTTTTAATTCTATAGCCCAATTACGCTGACAACCCAAAGATAAATGCAAAATCAGTAGCAAAATGAAGGCACTAAAAGTCAAAAACATTATTCAACTGGCTTGCTTTCAACTAATAGTGGAAGCATGGAGTTAGGAAAGTTACTGATACAATATAAGTGAGTAATAAGTTCTGTGGGTAAAGAGATGTATGAAAGATTGTATAGTGTGTGTGTATATATATGCATATATAAATACATATATCTATATATATACACACACATATAAATATATACACATTTCTATATGGGGATTTAGCTTTTTTTAATCCTCAAAAAATTGTTCCAAAAAAAGTTTAAGTAAGGTGGCATGTAAGAAAAAAGGGTTACTTTTTGGCGGTGGACAAAAATAAAAGGAAAAAAGAAAGCAAAAGTAAATCGATAGATAGATCGATAGATCTTGAAGTGTGAGAGAGCTTCAAAACTATTCCTAGAAAAATAGAAGTAAAAGATAATGAACAATTTCCATAACTTTTTGAAGCACCCTCATATATTTTCCTCAGTGTATGTGCGATGAGATAAAAGCAACTTCAAGTGCATATAAAAACCACTCAGGAGCTAGCCAGTGATCAATGGGTTTCAGATGTAAATTCCACAGAGCATCACTTATTTTATCATAATTTCTAAGAAAGATATTTTATATTGCATATTTTCTAAAGTCTGAGATCTGTAAAAAAAAAAATCTAACTTTAAACTTCTTCACCAAACTTCTTGTGCTTTCTATTGTAGAAAAGTCCAAGGACATGAGTTCAACTGATCAAGTAGTACAGCTTGACTTGCTTCTATTGAATAAATTTCTTAAAATATGTATTATTTCAGAACATGTGATGGAAAGTATTACATGTATTGAGTCTAATTCTATGAGGTCTGGCTTAGTAATTAACTTTTTAAAAAATCAATCATTTAATTGGGGCTCTTACAAATCTTTTAACAATCCAACATTCAGTTGTACTAAGCACTCTTGTACATACTGCCATCAACATTTCCGAAACATTTTCTTTCTACTTAAGCCCTTGGTATCAGCTTCTTTCTTCCCCCTTCCTCTCCCCACCTTCCCTCCCCTATGAATCTCGATCAATTGTATCTACTGTTGTTACTTCATGTCTTACACCGTCGAGTGCCTCCCTTCACCCAGATTTCTTTTATTCGTCCCCGTGTGGGGTGTCTATATGTCCCTGTAGCTAACATTTTACCACACAGCTTTGTGAGATTGTTTCTCATAATTATTCAGCTTTGTGAGATTATCTTTCTCATTTGCAGTGTTTCGGAACTATTTCATCGCAACTAGACTTCTAATTCTGCTAGGGCAAGGTTTCACTCTCATTTACTTGGTTGTCTCTGCCCTACCAGGCATTTTGACAAATAATCTCTACTGCCCAGTGAAAACTATTTTTTTTGAAACATCTTTTCCTTATGACCAATCTCTGCTGTCATTCACACTCTCTCTAACTCACTCCTCATCCAGCCACCAGAGGGCTCGGCCAGGCACATACCTGGCTGAAAACTCTCCAGTGGCTTCCTATCACTCCGGTCATACAATTCCAAGCTGTCGACGGGATCATGCTTCCCCTGGTTGGGACCTAGGGAGACCGTCTCTGACTTGCTTCATGCTTCCTCTTGTTCAATAAAGCCATGGTCACTGGATAATTTCAGTTCTCTTCAGCAGTTCCTGCTCTGGGCTACTGCTTTTGTTCTTCCTTAACCCTGCAAAACTCTCCACTTTTGCTTCCTTCTGTTCACAGATGATCAAACTCAAATAATGCTCCCTCACCATGGCATCCTCCTCTGACCACAATGATAAAGCGGCCTTCTCCATCACTTCTAACACATTGCTATATTTCATCTATTTTCTCAACCGTTCTGAGTACCACTAGAAACTAAGCTCTCTAGCCCCAGCCAACAGTGGCTGAGCAGTTGGTTAAGCAAAATCAGTAGAGAAAAAAGATTAATAGGTGAAAATAATAGAAAACTAACCTCTTTAGTTATGTCAGATAGTTCATACATGTTTACAAGAGCACAGATAGAGAATTTAGAAGCCTACTTATAGTGTACAGAAGGTCTTTTGTTATGATTAAAAATCTTAAAAAAGAAAACTGTAAACCAGGACCCTAAGTCAGACGGAATCTGTTAGGTGCATAGTACTATACAGTGCTCTCTCATGTGCAATCATGGTTTCCCAAGTGTCTGCAACATACATGAAGTTCAGGGATCACTTATCATGTAAAACGGTGACTATTCTGCATTTCACCACTCTGACTCTTAAAATACAGCACACCCTGCAACCTGGACTCCCTCACCTTGTGAGCCTGTATTTCTATCGGTGCTGATTGAAGGTTATTTTAATCCTCAAACAAATTACTCCTAAAAAGTTTAAGTGAAGTGTTACGCAAGAAAAATGGTTATTTTATGGCTGTGGGCAGAACTACATGGAAAAAGGAGCAAAGCGAAAGTGGACCCAAGGATGCGCGGTGAACACCTTGTCCGCCTCCTCAGCTCCTCCTTCAGCAGCCCATGCTGTCGCCATCTGGGGCTTCTCCTTCGTGGGTAAAATGTCCTTGAAAAGATGGTCTCCTTTCCTCTATTGTTTTAAAACAATTGACATAACAACAAATAAGACAAATACATTACACCTATAGCAACACAAACATAAAACAGCCATGTGGGTCAGCTACCGGTACCTAACAGGAGAGCAAGACCTTGACATTGTCATCAGGCACTGTTTCTCTAAAAACCACAACACTCTAGAGCTGTGGTTCTCAACCTGTGGGTTGTGGCCCCTTTGGGGGGTCGAACGACCCTGTCACAAGGGTCACCTAAGACCATCAGAAAACACATATTTCCAATGGACTTAGGAACCAAGACACCGCTCCTCTATCACTCTCCAGGAGGGTCCGCCCATATGCAGGTCTGCCCTGATATGAGTACCCATGATACATCATGCAAGATAAAATTTCATTGACTTGTAATTAGAAATAAATATTTTATAATATATAATTACATATTGTTTTTGTGATTAATCACTATGCTTTATGTTCAATTTGTAACTATGAAAATACATCCTGCATATCAGATATTTACATTATGATTCATAACTAGCAAAATTACAGTTATGAAGTAGCAACGAAAATAATTTTATGGTTGAGGGGTCACCACAACATGAGGAACTGTATTAAAGGGTCGCGTTAGGAAGGTTGACAACCATTGCTCTAGAGTCAAATGATGAAATATTAATATGAATACTCTCCCTAAGGGTGAACATATGAATTTCAGTTGTGTGCATCTTGGAAGACCCTCTCATGAGGCTTTGAATCACATTTTTGGTCAGTATCTTTTCCCCTCAGTTCAGCTAATATTTCTGTTTAATCTATTCTTAAAGAACTATTTTCCTTTCTGTTACAAATGTAGAGATGTAAAGCAACTAACAGTCTTGTTTTTAAAAGGTGATTAAAGCGTGGGGGGTGCGGGCATGAAAAATAAACAAGGTGAATAAAAACAGCACTAGACTATTTAGACCATAAAGTGAAAATCTGAAAACATTTAGGTCATACTATGCTGAATTTCAGAAGAGAAGAAAAACGGAAAAGATGAGATTACAGGATAACAACTTTCTATTTTATCAACTGTGCATTAAATATGGTATCCTAAAAAAGCCTACAGAAGTCCAGGGTCAGTCCAGGAGCATCTGAAGGAGCTGACGTAAATGGGAATGTAAGAAGAAATAGTTTGACAATGCATTCAAAAGGCAATACTTCTCTTGGAAGCAGACAGAATAAAGCCATGGGAAGAAAGTGAATGACAGTTCAGAGATATGATACAGTTTTGTTTGTTTTACACAAATTGATCTCTATTTCATACACCAGTTTCTGTTCTGAGTTACATGATGAAAAATATTTCTAAGTTTTCAACAAGGTTCATCGATTTTTGTTTAAAGGTAAGTTTAACTCATTATCCTTCACAGTAATTACTTGAAGTCACGGTAAATACGGTCTACATTCCTAAGTCCTTTGAATTATTACTTTAACTATTAACTCCCAATTTCAAGTTACTAGTAGAAAAATTATTAAAATGCAATATATTATCAGTGTATAGGTTATCCTATGTAATAACTCATTAACATTAATTTATTTGAGAGAAATGTAATAATTTCATTCTGAAATTAATTCAAAAGTATTATTAAATCCATACAATTTACCTAGGAACTACACCAATAAATATTACCTTGTTAATAAACATTTAGTGTGTAAAATATTGTTAGCAATTACATTAAAAAATCAAATGCAAACACTTTCTAACTATCAACATATCACCTAGAATGAGACAAATTGCCAACAAATAGCTCAGCGACATACCCCTGGAGTCTGCAGGGACAGAGGTGTGATACGTCGTTTCTCCCATTCACTGGGGCGTGGTTCTGGTGTGGATTCCATAAAATTGCGCTTGAGTTCACTAATGCTAGCCTGATGTTTCAGTATGTCCTCCTGGGCCTTATCCAAGTCCTAGCAATGTGTAACGTGACAAAGGGGAAACAATCCAAGGTGGGGGGGTGGGGGTGGGGGCCCAATGGGACAAAAATAAAGACAAAGCAAACATATGAGTAAAAAAAAAAACTAAAGCAAGAAAAATGCCAAGTCTCAAAAGCCATGTTTTTTATCTATAAAAAACCTTCATAAACTTAGTCAAAATTTGAAAACAAAGCCAATATGTAACTTTTTAGGATTTAGATTTTGAAAGATTTTCATTTCTTCCCTGTTTCAAACTTATAAAGAAGCATTTACATTACCAGAAAGAAGTCATAAAGCTAGTCATAATAGGCCTTGTTTCATATATCTGGGTCTGCAATGCAGCCCAAGCTTCTGTCCCTGCAAATTTACCTTTTGGATTAGGAATACGACCTCAATAGTATTTTGTAAACATAGGAAACCAACTCTAAAAAGGAGAGGGGTAGACTCAGAAGAACACTTGGCTTAGGGGTAAAATCGGTCCAGGACCATCCAAAAATGGAAAGCCAAGGGTCAACCACCAGGAAAATTCTCATGTGGCTTTTAATTAGGGAAACAAAATACTGCTCCCAGAAATGCTTTTGCTTGGCTCCTTTGTAAATTAACCAGAACACACACTGCTCTCATATACTTGCCAAATACAGAGGTGGGCCCCAGTCACTGACTGTGCCAAATGGTGCTTTATACAGAGAAACTGTGAGGTGGGTTTTCATAGAAGGCTCTAATAAATGCTGTTTGTGGGAGTTTTCAGACTGGCCCGAATATGCAATGTTTGTGGAGGTAGAAGAGATGGAGAATTCAGGACACTATTTTAACTGAATTTTAAATGTTTTACACTTCAAAACTCCCAGGAGTCACCTGTGGTTTCTCTTTCATCCCACCCCCAGAGGCACAGGCCATGCACCTGAGAAAATCAGAGCCCCACAAGTTCATGCACAAGCAGAGTAGCTCACCTAATGAGCTCCTTCCTGTTGCCACCTGCAAAAACTGACGGAAATCTACAAATCTTTGCATGGCATGGAAAAAGGACTGTGGCTTGAGATCAGGCACATTTCTTGGATTTGTTCAAGGCAATGTTATGTTTTACACTTCACAACATTTTAGTAAGTTATGTAAAAATACATTTCTAACAGTTATCAAAGCTGCCAAAAGCAACCAAACAGATTAGTCAGATTACTGAGAATTGCGGCTCTCCACTCTAGCACATATACTCCCCTGAAGAGAAAAAGTTCTGCTATGACACAGGGGGCATGGGTAATGGGGTGGTTGGGTTTTGCTTTTTAACCAAAACAATCCCATTAATTAGCATACATCAACAGAATACTGCAAATGGACCACATTTCTTAATTTTAAAAATAATGGCCATAGTTCAAAAGGCAAATGATTGAATGCCTAATGAACAAATGTCTTTTCTGTTTAATGTATACTAAGGATGGGATTGTGTAACTTCAGTTTCTCTGGTCTAGAGATAACCTATTAGGAGAAAATAGGTTTATCCATAGAATGGCTTCACAATTAATGGACAGAAACATTATGCATTTGACTAAATAGAACGATTTTTCCCCTTGGTCACTGTGAGAACTTCTGGTCAATAAGGTCCTCCCTGAGCCTTTAAAAGAATAAAGCCCAAACTGGTGACATGCACCCCACCACATCGAGTCTCCCCCATGCATTTCATGCACTGTGCTTGGAGAAAATCACCAGCCAGCTGTGCGTGACACCTCCCTTCCACAGCAGCCTGGCAGCCAGTAGGACAGAATGATGTTCTGAGATTATACCAACCTCCAACATTAAATTGCTATGTCTGACATAAATATTATCCCCTTCTACTCTCAAGGAACTTTTCTGTGAAATTAAATCACACACAGGGGGGGGGGAGGCAAACACATGTAAATGTATCAATGAGCAAGCACCAAAAATGACCCAGAATATGATCATCTAAGACATTAAAATAAAAGGGAAATCGCAATCTTAAGAACATCAGGCCACAGCTAAAACAACACTCGCAAATGAGCCCTGAAAGCACACTCTACACACGGTAACAAAGGCAGGCAGCAGCCACCAGAGTTAACTTAAAGGGAAAAACATCCACCTCCTCCAGCTGTGCTGCTGCTTCTTCTTCTTCTTCTTCTTCTTCTTCTTCCAGCTTCACCTGAAAAGTCACACAGCACATGGCCACAAAGAAGTGAGGTGTTAGTGGAACTCTGCCATCAGTGCCAAGAAGCTGACGTTGAATGTAATGGTGAACCAGCACTACCAACCTTCGTTGTCTGGGCCTCAGGAGATGCAGAGTATTAAGCCAGTTGGGTCTTCCTTTGCCTACTGTGCGGTACAAATGATGGAAGTGGCCCTTTGCAGAGATGAAATGGAAAATGGGGCTTCATTCTCTCTCACCCTAGGATTAGCTCTGCCTTTGAATGTTTTTATTTAAGACTATAAATGTGAGAGTGCAAAAATGGCACAATCCAATTAAATTGGAAACATCCAGGGCAATTGGTGCTATCGAAAGTGATCTTTTGGCTTTATATTGGGGGTAATGTTCACTCTATTACTCTAATTTGTAATGGGGATTTTTCCCCCCTCTAAAGGGGACTTTGGGAATTGGTTTTGCTACTTTTATATTAAAATAGTATTTAAAAATAATCTTTGCAATATGTACACTTTCATTTCATTAACATCTTTAAACAAGGATAGATTTTCACAGATGAACATTTCTCAATATCTAACAACACAAAGGAATTAGGAGCCTTCATGGCACCATGTGCTAAATATATAGAGCTATAAACCACATGGTAAATAAACAGTTCAAATCTACCAACTGCTGTGCAGAAGGAAAGACAAGGCTGCCGGCTCGGGTAAAGGTTTAGTCATAGAAACCCACTGGGCAACTGTACCCTGTCCCATAGGGTCACTATGAGTAAGAATTGGCTCGATAGCAGTGAGGTTAACTAAAAGGCTGGTTCAAATCCACCAGTCACTTCCTGAGAGAAAGACGATGCTGTCTGCTCCCATTTATAGCCTCAGAGATGCTAGAGAATAATTCAAATGCCTTATAGGGTCTATCAGTCAGGACTGATTTGATGGTAGCTGGGTTAATATCAAAGGAAACCGTGTAGCCTTCATACATCAATTCATGGCAGGGTCATATAGCACATGTATTTTTCTACTTTACTGACATGACAATGCTAAACCTCAAAGTTCAGGGCACTTTTTATTTTTTTAAACCACTCCTAACACTTATGAAAGGTAAGCAGGAGCTCACGGGCACTACTAATTGGTTAAGAACCACTTTCCAATTATCTGGTCAACATATGAGTTTCAAAACGTTGATTTCTCAGATAAAAACTTTATGAATTGTAGTTTCTTCATGATGTAAATTCATGGCATTATCCTCAGATTTGGGTTGTGGTTTGCTCTAGATTTTGGGATTCACTCTATGTGTTAATAGAACTGACAGCATATAAGATACCAAATCACCAGGTAGCATCTGGCAGAACAGCCAGGGAACATATTACACATGTTACAATGGACATAGTACAGAGGTAGAGCACTTTGAAAAACAATCATCTGATGAAATCCAGGAGACAGTACCTCGATTAATAGTCCCTTGGGGTTATAGCAAGGGAACTTGGGTCTAATAGGGAGCTAAAAATCATGCGTATGAGTATAAGAAAAAAATGTTCTAAAACTTTGGTGATGATTGCACCAATCTATTCAAATCATTGAATTGTATGGTATGTGAATTATATGTCAATAAGAGTTGTTTAAAGAAAATTTAAAAATTGTCTCGATCTAGCACCTTAGTTTCAAATAAAAGAGCACACAGAGACCCAAACTCAGTGTTGTGCAGTTCACATTTTTAAAAGCTGGATTCCATTTTTCACATTTACTTAAGAAAACACACAGCAGATTCTTCACAAAATACCGGATATACTAACTCTGGCTTATAATTACCTGGTTTTGTGGTGTTTTTTCTTGTTGTCTTAAATACTACCTAAAAACTCATCTCTTTCCCCAAAGCTACAGAAACAGGGAAGTGTAAGAGTTTCTGTGATTAAACCTACAAATGTCAGGAGGAAAAACTACAGATATATCCTTATGAATGCAAGAAATATAGCTTCCTGCCAAGAGAAATAACAATACGAGGGAGTTCTATTAAACTACATCAATTACAATTATGTCCACTGCAGCCCAAGTTCTAGATCAAGACAAAAAAGTTATATTCTACAAGGAAAAGAATTCCTACTTGTCGACATACTGGTCCTAATATACATGCTAAAGGCAATAATACAGGTCTCCCTCTTTTTTGGTATGGGGTTCACATGGGTAGGGGCTCAACTGCTAACAGGGATGGCGGTTCAAGACCAGCCAGCAGCTCTGTGGGAGACAGACCTGGAGATGTTCTTCTGTGAAGGGTACTGCCTGGGACACCCTACAGGGCAGTCCTGTCAGGACTGCCTTGACTGGATCCAACAACATGGTCTAGATATTTATAAAAGAAGCTTACCACTTTGCTCACTTAGGATGTGTAGACCTGGTCAATGACAATCGGTGGAAGAAAAACCTACAATACACTTACTTCTCATGCGTTTTAAACACTCCATGTGTGAAAATGTGAAGATTGTGATATTTTAGGGGAACTTATGCACATGTTTACACTCTTACATCATTGGGAAAACATTAGCAGGGAAGTAGAGTTCTGCTGACCCCACAAATTAAAGCTTATGTAGGAGGGACAGCAACCACGTCTTCTTCCTCTGTTTTGTCATTTGCGTCACAGTCGTAAGAAACATTCAAGGAAGATGCTTTAGCTTCGAGGTAGCAGAGGGACAGAGCCAAAGGAAGTGCGAAGGTGAAAGAAAAAGAAACAGAATGTGAAGCAGAGAGAAGTAACCCAAAGATGAGAATAAGGGAAGGAAGGAATGAAGGGGAGGTGATAGGAACATAATGCTGAATGTCAGGCGGGAGGAAGGAAACCCAGACCTTGGGGAGGCTGGGGAAAGCGAGGTAACCATCTTCATCAAGAAGTGAGGGAAAGCATTTGCAGAAACGGAAGGAAAAGTATCCAAACTCAGAATCGTGGTGGTCATCCACTTTATGAGGCTTCTCGAGGCAGGGAGAAGGGCAGTCTGGTTGAGGACAGGATAAGACAGAGTCCAAGACAGAGTCAAGCGTGGGGACTTCAGGGTCACCCTGCTCTGATGGGTCACTTGTGAAATTGAGTTCTATGCTGTCTAGAGTGATCTGGTCTGCCTCCCCAAAGGGGTCTTCCTCTGAAATGTCAGAGAGCAAGTCCAGGTCAGGGACTGGCAAAAGGAGTGAGGAGGAAGATGAAGTAGAGTGGATGAGTGAAGGTGGGCGCATGGAAACAGACTACTCTCAAAAGCAAACCCATGATTGAGTATGAAATTATATAACGGGCACATCATAGAAAAGAACAAATGTAAGACAGAAAGGGAGAGAAGAAATAGGTAGTTAGTGAGGACTTTTACTAAGAAAGGGGGAAATATTAACATAGCTACAAAATGAATTAAATGATTCATTTTTAAAGAGAAAAGCAGGACTACCGTGTACACTCGTGTATAAGCCGAGTTTTTCGGCACATTTTTAATACAGTTTTTGTGGTAAAATTAGGTGCCTTGGCTGGTATTCGGGTCGACTTATACTCGGGTATATGAGGTACTTCTGTCACACAGAATGTAGACGTACAGACTTAGTTACTATTTTCCAAGCAGTAATACACAGAGCCTATGAAATTGAAACAGCATTATTACTTTATGCTCTGGTTCTGACAAACATTCTTACCATTAGCAAAAGAGCAAAAGGGACACCGCCACCCACCCTGC